AAAATGGGCCACGTGGACGTCAAAACTCTTGGTTCCCACCACTGATACCAATTGAGTGCTTTTCCCTCCAAGCACACTACTGCGATGTCCACCTTTTCTGCCTCAGGGATGTTTATCTCGAAGTACCTTTCCGCTCTGTACAACCACCCATAGGGGTCCTCTCCCGCAAAGTAGGGTACCTCAACTCGCCTCACTCGTTCCTCCCTTCTCCAGCCCTCACCATTTCCTCCTTCTTGATTACTATTCTCTCCTTCCATTTCCGTTCAGACCACTTGCATGGCTGTCTCAAACCTCGTTGTCATCATCATCAACATCTCATCCATTTGCCTTCAAAATTCCTCCTGAATGGAGGCTTTCATGCCCTCCAATCAACACTCGACATTCTCCAATCAATTCTCCATTTGTGTGGCTACCATCAGGCGCTCCCAGGATCGGGAGCTCTGTACCAACTTGAAAGGAACTTATTATATTATTGAATTAAAAGAACAAACACAGGGAATAACCCTGGTAGTACAAACAAATAGCAATAGAAACAGAAAGAAAACCAGTGGTTAAAGAATGAAATTCCTATGGCAACAACAACCCCAAATAACCTCCTTGATAATTCTTGCCTTCTGCCCTCTGTCCATCCTCCATATATCCCCTCTTCTCAGCTGCATCTTTCCTCTCTCTTCTTCTTGCCACATACACTAATTTGTTAGTCTGTTAGAGTCTTGCATAACGGCCTCCTCGCTCACCTTTCCCATTTTACCCCTCCTTTGATATATGTTTAATGGGGGTCCAATTGGCTTAGACCCAACATCAAGCTACCACCAAATACGTATGAACAGGATGATATCCCAAAAACGGCTTTTTGGGCACATGAAGGGCACTACGAGTACGTGGTGATGCTATTCGGGTTAACAAATGCCCCTTCAATTCAAGCCCTCATGAATCAGATTTTTAAACCCTATTTGCATAAGTTCGTATTAGTGTTTTTTGATGATATTCTCGTGTATAGCCTAGATTACGCTTCACATATTGATCATTTGTGTGTAGTTCAATTATTCAGAAGCTAGGAGTTGTGGATCAATGGTAAAAAGTGCAGTTTTGGGGTAACGTAATTAGATACAAGTGTGATTTTTGTTTTTTGAATTTCTGCTGATCTAGCAAAGGTGTCTACAATGAAACAATGGCCGGAACTTAGAGATATCAGAAGTTTGAGGGGTTTCTTGGGTTTGATGAGATACTACCGCCGTTTTGTACGGAATTATGGAGTTATTGTTAAACCCCTAACACAGCTATTAAAGAAAAATAGTTTCAAGTGGTCAGAGGAAGCACAAACAGCATTCGAGCAACTGAAGCTAAAATGGAGATTCTACCAACTTTAGCAATGCCAAAATTTGACTTGCCATTTGTGTTCAAAACTAATGCGTTGGGATATGGAATTGGGGCAGTTTTAATTTAACAAGGCCGACCCTTGGCTTTTATTAGTCAAGCCCAATCTGACAGAAATAGGGTGAAATTAGTATATGAGTGTGAATTGATGGTAATTGTGTTTGCTATGCAGAAATGGCAGCAATATTTGTTAGGTAATCATTTTATTATTCGGACCAATGAAAGGAGTTTGAAGTTTCTTTTGGAACAATGGGTATTGAAGGGAGAGCAGCTGAAGTGGGTAACCAAGTCAATGGGTTTTGATTTTGAAATCTAGTATAAACCTGGGTTAGAGAACATAGCAGCTGACATGTTGTCAAGAATGAATTATAAGGCCATATCTTTGATCACTAATTCTGATTTAGTAGAATTGGCTGAAGATATTCTGGGAGATGAATTATTAAAGGGAATTATGCAGCAGGTAGTAGTACATCCAGGTAGTAGGAACCAATTCTGCTTGTAAATCATTGAGCTGTATCTCGAATAAAAGAATTATTCCCTTTCTATTCTAGTATGGTATCACAGCTTTGGCTCTCAACCCTGCCTTCTCTAAATGGCATTGACTGGTGCCACTTCTACTAGTACAGCTAGCCTTGATGAAACGTAACTTCTCTACCACCAGTGAGTGAGAATCGGAATGGACTGGTGTTAACAGAAGCCTTCCCTCATAATTTAAATCTCCAACTCATCGTACATAAGCTTGATGGGAAGAATTATCTTCAGTGGGCCCAATATGTGAAGCATAGTAGTCAAAATCGTGTACTGCCTCGTAAAATCACACAATTTTATGTTTCCCGACCCCCTCTCTGTGCTAGTGCGCTGTCAAAATTGCAAACCACCAAGATTGGGTGGGATTGCCTTGTTGGACCGTAAAATTTGTAAGCTCAGATAATCCCTACATGCTGAGAAACCCAATTTTTTACCCAATGACCTGTGACCCAGTTTGCTGAAAACTTATTGAAACCATAAAATTGATTCAAAAGTTCCTTCCTTCCTCTGCTCTACAACTTTGTTCCACTTCACACAACTCTGTTTTGCTTTGCTCCAGCCATTGTGGTTTGTTCCGGCGACTATGCGATTTGCAACCTGTAACCTGCAAAGCATTTTGCAACTTGTGAAGCTTTGTTCTGCAATCTACAACCTGTTCTCCCCTGCTGTTGTGTGATGCTGCACTGCTGCTGTTCTCTCTCTAGATTCTTTTGGTGGTTGTGGGCTTGGGGCTGTTTCTGCTTGTCAATCTAAGTTGCTCACCTTATGAGTTTATCTTTTATGGGTTTTTAAGGGTAAAAAAGACTTTTTATCTATTAAAAATAAAGTGACTTTTCCTTTTTACCCTTAAAATAATTGTTTTTAGTTTTTTTAAGGGTAAAATAGTCTTCTCATTAGAATATATCACCTAACCTATCTTTTCCTTCTCCTCGTCTCTCATCTCCATCTTTGTGTCTGTTTTGAGGGTGGCTCCCTTCCCTATATGTCTTTGTTCAGCTTCCCTCATCTTCATATTTATACTATTTTATATGCATATTTACAATTTTGTAGGATCTTACAATCATATAAGTTATGATTTTTCAAACCCCCCCTCTCCCTCTTTGATCCTACGTAGAATCTTGATTTTGACTTCCATGATGTAATGTTGGTGCTGAAAGGGAGAGCAAAGATAGGATGTCTCACTCGAGAAACAAATAAACCAAAGAAAGATTGCCCTTCATGGGAAAAGTGGAAGGTAGAAAATTCTCTCATAATAGCATGGTTGATTAATTCCATGGAACCATTTATTGGGAAACCCTACTTGTTCTTACTGTCAGCCAAGGACATATGAGAGGCCTTTCATGAAAGGGAGAATTTTAGCCTGAAAACCTCTACTTTCCATCTGAGAGGTTTTCCCTAAGGTTAGGCGTGAAGAGGCAAGAAGTAGAGTAATGCTTCATAACCTAGAAATTTCTGTGACACAGCAAGTAAGGGGATCAGCCCTTGTCTCAAAAGGCCTTGATCCTGAGGGAGATAAGAAGGACAAACCATAGCGTGATCATTGTAAAAGACCTTGGCATACGAGAGAATTGCTGGAAGCTCCACGGAAAACAACCTAATTGGAAGAAGAAATTTAATAGACACCAATGCTTTCCAATTAACTTCTGAAGAGACTAATGAAACACTTCCTGCTGCTATGTCATCCCCTTTCGCTAAGGAACAATTTGAGCATCTTTACAAAAAAGCTTCTCCCAAAATGACAGTTATCCCTTCTAAGTTCTTTGGCACAAATGATATTCATTCCATTACTTTCCTCTTCAGCTTAGAGAAAAGTTCAAAACCTTTATGGATCATTGTTTCAGGAGCTACGGATTGATTGCTCAAAGTTATTCTCATCTTATAGTGCTTCTGTAAGTAATGAGAAAAATGTTGTAGATAGCTCTTATTGCAATTGCTAGAATTGCTTCAATAATTCTTTCTCCATCTATAACTCTTTACAATGTTCTTCACATGCCAAATTTATCATGCAATTTGCAATCTGTCAGTAAAATTACTCTTGATGAGAACTGCCAGAACTGCCAAGCTGTGTTTGACCCCTTTTATTGCAAGTTTCAAGAATTGAATTCGGGGAAGATGATTGACAATGCTAGAGAAATCAATGGACTCGACATATTTGAAGATGAATTGAGTAGACATGATAGGAGTACTTGTTTCAATTCCAATTTTGTTTCTAGGGATACACATTATGTTGTGGCACTATAGAATGGGCCATCCTAGTTTCAATTACATGAAACACTTATTATTTCATTAGAGAGAAGATCTTATTAGAGACATCACTACTAGCTTCGTAAATTCTCATGATCAATTGGCAAATGTCTATACTAAGTCATTAAGAGGTCCTCGATTTAGTTATATATGTGACAAACTTGGTGCATATGATTTATATGCTTCAGCTTAAAGGGAAGTGTTGCAATTCTGTAATTATAGTAATGCTATAAACAGGAAAATAAGTATCTTTGTAATCACAATAATTATGTAATTGTATATTCTGTATTGATGATCCCTATTATAAATATATGCTCCTCTGTGTAGTTAAGACACATGGATTGGTGTCATGAGTTATTCCTAAGCTTTGGGTTGATATATTTTTGTATAATTTTGTAGCAGAAATCAAATTATTATAAAATCTGATTTTGATTAGATCATAGGAGATTTTCTATTTGTATTTATGTCTTACATGATGTTATACCAGATTGGTTTCCTTTTTTAGGAACCAATTCTGCTTATAAATCATTGAGTTCTATCTCGAATTAAACAAAAAAGAAATAATTATTCATTTTCCTTTCTGGTATTTAAATATCTAGATTGGTTGTATCATTAAATTTAATAATAAGTTTGGAATTTGTACTGAGTTTGTTGTGTACTTGATACATTGATTTAGCAGCATATGCTTCCCTTTTCTGTCTCAACAATTTGCTTATTGCATTCTTCGGTTGAAGAAATTTGTAACTCTGACATGCTCCTTGTGCTTTATGATACAGCAAATTGTTAATTAACTTGACAATTTGCAGCATATGTTTTATGTGTATTGATGTTCATGTTTGGCATATTTGCAGGTTGTTACATATGTTGTGACAAGGCCAGGAAGAGAACTTTTATTTACTGTTGTTTCAGAGGATGAGAAGTATAAAGCGAAAGTATTTCTATTTTCTGTTTCCTTTCATCTTCCTTTCTGCCCTAAGGGTGAAATGTAGTCGTAGAGGGTACTGTCCGGCTATATTTTAGAAGCACATAGAAATAGCGAAGTGCCACTTTTATAATTTAGAGCGAACCAACGGCTTCACTGCAATAACACTATTATATATTGTATATTTTTGGGATAAACAATTCACCAGCCAAATGTTGTCGAGGCAACACTTGACTTACAACATGCTGATGCAGGTATGCATAGATGTGTTGGTTCAAAGACTTGGAGATGCTGCTGCAGCTGGAATGTACAAAATGCTTTTTGGTACTCTCAACGGAAAGCCATCAACGGTTTCCCTTTATGGTCTTCCCGTATGTATAAACTTATCATACTGTCCATCAGTCTTCCTCTTATATATTACTATCCAGTTTTGGTTAACAAAAAGAAATTGTGGTTATTGTCATATCCTTATTCCTGAACAACACGTCATCATATTGACTCAATCAGTTACCATTACTCATTACTATAGCCTACCTTAATAGAAATGCTGCTTCACAAAACTAGTAATATTTTCCCCTTTTTTCTAATTTTATATGGTCAAGACTAAGGTCGGGGTTTGTTCAATTATTCTGTAGGTTTGTTTGTTGTGGTTAGTGACAGCATTCTCTTTGGGCCGTCGGCAAGTGCAACTTTCAAAGCACCAGATTTGCTCTTCTTTATAGAATTTAAGAATGGCTGTACTATAAATTGTAATTATAATAAATACTGAGCATCGAGAAAGTCAAGCCTATTAGATAAAGGGATGTTTGATTTATGGGATGTTTATTTGAGCTTATTGAACTGATATTTCTATTAATTGATTACCTTCGAAGTTTATATATATATATATATAGAGAGAGAGAGAAAGGAAGGATCTCCTCACACATGTGTAAGTCTAAAACACTTATCTTCAATTTGAATTTTTTATTTAACTTACATATAACAAGTTATAATTTATTATTTCATTGATTGTTAGACATAAGTTAGATGAAAGACTTAGATCGAGTGTAAAAGTTTTTAAATTTACACCATAGTAAGTAGATTTTGTCTCATATATATATATATACACACATGCTTTCTTTAAGTTATGCATAGTCATGGTCAAATTTTAAGTTAAATGTGTTTGGACTTTGGTCCCTCAACTGCATTTTGTTTTTAGTCCCTACAACTTATATTTTAATTCTTACATTTTGAAATTTATTTGTTTTGATATTTCATTGATGTGTCACTATCCAAAAATACATGTTGCATGAAATTAACAAATTACAACATCTAAGTTAGTAATGTCATTTTTATTTTTATTTTTTGGCTATAAGTTAGCAATGTCATTTAGCATTAACTAAGAACCAAATAAAGTAATTTAAGGTATATTTTAGTGGTTAGTGCTGATAAAATAACGTTAGTAACTTAAAATTATATGTTAGTGGTTAATTGTAGATATAATAAAGTTAATAACTTAAAAAATAAAAGTGAGTAATTAGCTTTTATAAAATAAAATCTAAATAATATAAAGTTTAAAGTAAAATATAGTAGAATAATTTAGGGAGATTAATTTTATTTAATGAATACTTAGAGTTCTAAATAAGAGTGAAGTGTTAGAATTTATGTTCAAGCCTTTATGTGTCCATGACAATATTTAAACTTGGAATTTATTTTTAAAATAAAAAAGACGTTTAGTTAAAAGTTAAGATAAATCAATCTTAATTTATTGATATTGAAAATTATTATCTTTTAATTTTGCAAGGAACATGACTTAAAAAGTAAGAGTTATACTCTTAAAATATTATGTTCTTTATTGATTAAATTTTTCTTAACTTATCAAAGGATTCCCCCTCTTTACCTTGATTAGATTTTTTATTGAGCTTAAAATAAAAGTGAGTAATTATCTTTTATGAAATAAAATACATATAATATAAAGTTTAAAGTAACATATAATAGAATGATTTACGAATATTAACTTTATTTAATGCGTAGTTTATTGAATTTTAGTAACATTTAAAATTATTATTCTTAATTTAGGAAAATAATAATATGTTGCTTACCTATGACATACATCATATTCCTATATATACATGAGCTTGTTGACTATTTTGAAAAAGAGGAACAGCTTATTTTAGGGGACAAATTTTTGTAATTATGGAATTGTTTCTAAATATACAAGCTTAATATTAATAGCAAAATACAATAAACATAACGAATAAAAATACAGCAAGGTTAATTAAAACTTCCTAAAATATGAAAGAGGTAACACAATTTTGACACTCTCCCTTAAGTTGGTGAATAAATGTTCTCTATTCTAAACTTGAATATAATTCTTTAAATGTTATTGATGTTCAATCTCTTAGTAAGTATATCTGTAAGTTAATCTTGAGTGAACACGTGGGGTGCAAATCAAGCTACTTTCTAGCTTTTCTTTGATAAAATGTCTATCCACTTGATATGTTTAGTTCTATCATGTTGTACTGAGTTGTGGGCTATATTAATTGTAGATTTATTGTCACAATATAACTTCATAGGTTCATCTCACTTTTTCTTCAAATCTTTTAGATTCTTAATCATAAAAGTTCACATATTCCTTGGGCCATTGCTCAAAATTCTGCTTCGGTACTAGATCTTGCTACAGTAGTCTATGTTTTTCTCTTCTAAGTCACTATTTTTCCACCAAAGAAGGTGCAATATCCAGTAGTTAACCTTCTATTCATAATTGACCCCTCATAATCAACATCAGTATATGCTTCAAGACTTATACTATTATTTCTTTTGAACAAAATTCCTCTTCTTGATGTCACTTTTAAATACAGACACTTCAAATGGTAGCTTGTAAATGTGCTTCCTCTGATTGGTGCATAAATTGGCTAATTTAGCTTATAGTAAAGGCAATGTCTAGCCTAATGTAAGATAAATAAATGAGTCGGCCAACAAGTCTTTGATACTTTTCCTTGTCCACAGAAACATCCTCCTCTGCACTTCCCAATTTTGTATTTGGATCAGATGGTGTACTTGCTAGTCTACAAGTTGTTTTATATTTTTCTTTTTAAACAAGTTAGTAATATGCTTTTGTTGAGATATGAAGATTCCTTTCTTGGAATGAGCTACTTCAATTCTCAAAAAATATTTAAGCTTCCCCTTGATTTTGAAATCCTTGGCAAGACATTGGCTTAACACTTGCTGCTTCTCTTTGTCATCTCTGGTTACTATAAAATCATCTACATACACTAATAATATTGTTACTTTCCTTGAGATTGAATGTTTGATAAATAAAGTGTGATCTCCTTGGCTTTGTTTGTATCCTGCTTTTATTTTCAAAATAGAAGAGTTTAAAAAAAAAAAAACTATAGTATTTCTAGCTCAAGGGAGAAATTTCTCGCTTAAAAGAGAATTGACAAATATTGTTCATCTGTACTCTCGTTCAAGCAAAAATGAGTGACCAAATAGAAGTTATTTGGAGAGTTTTCGCTAAAGCGAAAGTGATCTTGCCCAAGCAAAAATATCAGTAAATGTGTAGAAAATTTTGTTTAGTTTTTTTGCTCAAACTTAGAATGGCCTCGCTCAAGTGAGAAAAGTTGTTGCTCAAGGGAAAATGATCTCGCTCAACCAAAAATTCTCGAGAAAAAGAGTAAATGAGTTCTGTGACATTTTTAAAACTTAGATTACAAGGAAAATAATCATTCTCATCTCACTCTTAGTTCTCTCACTTCCTTCCCCAACGAGGAAACATCTTTGAACTCCAAAACCTCCCTCAAATCTAATCTTGGATATCTTTTCCAAGTGATTTCCAGTAAGTTTCTTATAGATTTTTCTTCTAACATCACTCCTATTTCATCATTTTCTTTCTTCTCAAGAGTTACTCTACTTTGTGATACTTAGGAAAGGAGAGTGAACTCACAAGCTTGGATCAAAGAAAGATTGGACCTTTTCAAAGATTTTTTGAGAAATGGAAGAGAGAGGTCAGAGGAAGTGGAGAAGGGTCATAACTTAAAAACCCTTAAATACTCATCAACTCGCGACGTTCTCATTACAGCGAGCAGTTTCTCGCTACAATGAGCCCTTCTCTCGCTACAACAAAAAAATTTAACAAAATTTTTCTTTGTTGTCTGTCATTCTAGCTACAATGAAAGTTTTTCGCTATAGCGAGAGAGCATCAGAAAGCCTAGTTCTAGACGCTTATTTCCCACTATAACAAGAAATCCTGCAACTTACACACCTAAAACTCTTCTAATTTCAAACAACATGCATTAACAATTCATACAAAATACAAAATTAATAAATAACAAAAATATGGTGTTACACTTCACCTCTGTTTATAACAATAATGACATTACTTCCTCCCACAACAGAGATGGGGCATTACAATATTTACTTTCTAAATAGGCATAAACTCTGTGAATTTCATTCTCTATATCACGCACTAAGGCATCAGCCCAATTAAAGATTGCATCTCATTCCATTTCACACCATACACTTAAGCTTTAGCTCTATCTATGATTAACATTATACTCAACTATTCAAAAATTTCTATTAGTGATGTAACCATACTAGTGCTTTCAAACACATCTACTAAGGGTCTCTAACTCACTAGCCTTGTCTGTTCCTTTAAATTTCAAATATTACCCACCTAAAGTTGTTATTCCTCATTACCAAAGAATGTAAGATTTTTGCAAATGCTTCTTTCAATTGGGTTTAGTTATTAAGGTTTAGTTATGAATTCAAAGTCTAAGACAAGCATGTAGCTAAACTCAATAGCATTAATATTCTTACATGTCAATTTTGTCCACGTATTTTCATTTTATGCATATATACCCTCTTAGGGGCTTATAATCCTAAATAGTGCTTGTTGAGTCTACCTATGCCTATATGCATCTTCTCAAGTCGTTATGCAATATAAATTCATGCGCTAAATCATAATTTTCAAAACGTTCAAGTAAAATAATAATGTAAAATATATACGAAGTGTACTTACAGTTTCTTCTATATCTTGATGATTTTGGCTCCAATCACATTCCCAAAAATGCTATGAAAAGCTAAGATCATGTAAAATACAATGGAACAATAGCATGTCAAAAACACACATTTTCAAGGGTAAAAAATATTGAAACAGGGGAACTTAAAACTTTTCAAGAGAGTTTGAGTTTTTGGAAGGAATGACCTCTTGGTCTACTATTTGACTAAGAAAAGGAATTCTTTAGTTACACAATTTTAGTTAATTAATTTAGACATATAAAACAAATAGTGTCCTTGGACACACAATTCCAATCGTAGGAATAAGGAGTATAAGCCCTAATTAGCTTAGTGAAATTATAGGTTGGACCAAAATGAATCAATTTTCATGATGTTCAAATGGTAATTAGCCTTAATAAATTCACTTTGAATGTTAAAATTAATTTTTGAGGAGTTCATACATTTACACATTAAATAATTAGTTTTTAGAGAGTAATAAACTACTAATGCCCAATAAATTTTTCAAAATGAAATAAATAAACTGATTGCAAATTAATACCAATGCACTAAATTTAGTAATAGCAAAATAAATTTATAATTACCAAGAAATTAATTAAAACACAATTTCATAGAATTAGTAAGTCACTAATTATTGAATAGGTTTCAAATAGGACATTATTACACTAGAGAATTAAATAATAGAATATTTTTATGAAAATTGAGTTAGAAATTGTAACATCCCCAAATTTTCTTTACTCTATAAATGATTGTTGAATTATATCAACCTCATTGAATAAAATATAAATAGAACATTGAAACTTTAG